ACTCAGCGACAGGAAAATCTCCCGGTTGCTTGGATCCAAGAAGACGTCTGGGGCGAGCGACTTGTCCACCGGCGAAAGGTCCGCCATGCCGTTCATCACCTCGATGCACCGCGGGATGCTGAACCTGTTGTCGGCATGGCTCTCCCGCTGTTTATTGTTGCTGTCTCTCTGATGATGAAACTTGGGGTCAGCGTGTCCTTCCATGGCATCGGATGTTCCGTCCTCGCTGGGCCTCCTCATGTAGCGCCATTGATCTCCCCGTGCTTCCTCGGCAGGCCTCCTCGAGAGCTGCCATGACTCTGGCCGCACCTGGGTCAGCGGTTTCGGGTACAGGTGCCCATTCACAGTATGAACTTCAACGCCCACTAGAGTCTCCTGCTGGAATGAAGACTCTCTGGATACTGGAGATGGGGGGATAGGTGACAGTGGACGATTCATGTAATAATCATCTTCATCATCATCATCATCATCACTTGAGATAACTTCCGCACCATTCCTTTCATTTGGGGTAGGTGTGGGTGCGGCAAGAATACTTTTACCATCCAAAATAACACCAACTGCACAACATGAACAAACAAAATTTCGTTTTTAGGTACAGACCAAAAATTATAACTGAGATCAAGTCAGCTTCTCCCATTAGGGGTAGCAAGCAAATCATCAGAAAAAATAAATGTCCGACATGAGACATCTTTGTAAGAAGAAAAGGTACTGCAATAGAATTCATCAAGCAAATTCCAACATATCCTAACCTAATATATGCAGAATAAAGCAAAGCTATTCTGAAGGCCCTGAACCAGCATGCATTCCAGAGTTAGTATTACGTGGTAAAAAGCTGAGGTCATCTATGGTACCAAAACATTGATAATGTACCGTAACACCATATGGCCAGTTGTAAACACTGCCAAATATTAAGCAGGAACATAATATAAATAATAGATCATTCTCCTATAAATCATCCTTTTTTACATTTAAGTGCCGAGTTAGCTTATCTTCACTACTAATAAATTAACTGGGAGTAATTTACCTTATTGTGCAGTGTATATAGTTCACAACGTGTACCATATAGATGGAGTACAACCTATAGAATGTAGAGTATAGCTAATACTATTCCATATGTGTAGACCGGTGGTTTGCATAACTGTGGTGCTTTTCTTAGTCAATCTTAAATACTCTAAAACAAAAATGTTCTCATAGACGCAAAAACACATAATAATAATTAGTTGAACTTTGATAACACGTTCATATTGTGACAGCCCATTCATGAATTAGTAGTTACCCATCCACCAAATAGCACATATCATTTTACACAGCACTGACTTTAACATCTTGCAATTTAGTACGTAGTTCACTAGTTCCAAGAGTTGGCACTAGATTATGTTACCTTTTTTCCCATATGGATTTTTACAATCATCGCATTTACAGTTGATGGAGCATCCCGCCCCTCCCTTCAAACACAGAAGAAAAAAAATACCAGTCACAAACTGAGAGAAGAGAAAAACTAATAGGATAGGGTTGTCGTTTTTTAAAAAATAGGATAGAGTTGGATAGAGAACCTGATAGCAGTCACAGTATTTCTTAAGGCAGCCTGACTTTTTGCAAGTGCATTTTCTTCTAAAAAAATCAATTTGGTATCTTGCAAATTCCTTGAGAGAAGAATAGAAGTATCAGGATCGTCAAAAATAGAACAAGGAAATAGCTACACATTTACCATGTCATGTTTGAACAAGATTTATACCGCTGAATTTTGACCACCCTCTGCTGGTCGAACAACTTGCAAAGGCAAGCCTGGTGGTGTATTCTGTTGAACACCATGAATAGTCTTGTTATAACATGGGTCACAGCCACATAATTCAGAACACTGTGACCCAGAAGCAAAACACACACAATAACTGCCAAGACATAAAGCAATTGATCAGTACAACAGTAATGAACTTGAATTTAGCAGTAAGAAATCATAAATCATGTTGTGGGTATGCATGAGCGTGGATAGATAGGTATGGTGTATGTTTTGTGTGTGCAGGGTGGGTGCATCAGTGCATGCAAAAGTCAGCATTCCCCATCTTTTCCATGCATCACCACCCCCTGCCAGAAACTCAGTTCCCTCCATTGCAAGAGTGCTGTGAAGCCTTACACTAACACGCAGGCTATGTACAGCTAGACCAGAATCACAGCCAATCTACTAATTTTAATTGTGCTTCAAGTGTGTGACATTGCAGCAGTAACCAGTAAGTACAGGTGAACGTAAAATTGAAACAACAAATCAACATGCTTGGATAAAGCTGTGTTTTTTTAAGTTGTAGGCATGTTCAAATAGAGCTGGTAAACATGCTCAAATAGTCACAAAATCTTTAGGGATCTCGATTGGCTACATTGGGTGCCTTATCCATCAAACATCTGAAATGCTCGACCACCGAATCTAGAGTTGCTAAAAAAGAGCACCAGACTCATTGCAGATGTCCAACTGAACTAGTGCCGGATCAAAACGCCAATTGCTCCTAAACAATTAGAAGATGCACTGAGAATCCAAGCTCGCTATATCTCTCCCCTCACTAAATTCAGGCGTTCTACGATGAGACATTTGCAGCATTTGGCATTACCAGCGAGACAGTGGAAAAATCGTGCGACTTACAGCTTCAGGCACCTGGACTTCTTGCAGCTGCACGTCCTGCACCCTTCGCCGTCCTCCGCTTTCCTCCTATAACCAAACACGGGAGAGAAAATGAAAGGCTGGTGAGAGGGAATCCCAGAGAAAATACTCCGCACGCAACGAACCAAAAGAGGAAATCGGAGGCGAAACCCGGATTTTGCCGAAAAGGGTAAAAAGTGGGGGCACCGACTTCTTCTTCCTGTCGGAGCTCCCGTTCGCCTCGGCCGGCGGCGACACAGCCGTCCACACCGCGGCGGGCGCGGGCGCGGAGACGAGCGCCATAGCTTCGGTGGCAGGAGCGGCCGGAGCGGGGGCGGGGGCTGGGGCGGGAGGCGGGGGAGGGACGGGGGCGGGCGCGGG